CTTTCAATTAATTTCCTTGAAAACATGTGATTTACGTTAAATAATGTTAGTTTTCAAAAATTATTATTTATAATTTTTTCGCCAATCTCTGTCACCTACAACTTTCTATATTATATGTATTTCTTCTAAAATTCTCCGCTTTCTAATGATATATTGTACGTGTACCTTCTGACTAGTATTTCTGGAGATTCATTTTCGAACTGGATAAGCATTTTTTTTTTTGTCCTTTATTCATTTATCAAATTCTTTCAAAATTTATATTTAGCAGTTTTTTGCAACTTTTCCTTATGTGAGATGATTAATTATTTGAATTAAACTCCATTAAATGTACTTTAGAAGAAGACGTATATGAACTTTAAGCATTTATGCTGTGTAAAGTGACATCAATGGGAATAAGACATAATTGATAGTGTTGCCCAAAATCGGTCTTGGTTCTGCACTTTGCAAGACCAATACCAGGACTAGTAAAAAAAAATGGATTTTTTGAATAAAATTTAAGGCAAAATAGTTACTAATACTTAACAATCTTAGTTACTATAAGTAAAGAATTATTATCAATATACTTTTGCATTTAACTCCTCTAATTTTTCATTCGGGCTTACTTAGGTTTCTCCTAGTTAAAAAGTTACAGTAATATCTCTACCTTAATAAGGTAATAAGTAACTGCAAGACTGTTGCACGAATCTTTGTGCAAGACCAAAACCATGACCAAGACTGAGTTTGCAAGACTAAGACTCATCTCGGTCTCGCATTTGGGCAACACTACTGATTGATATTAAATACCACTTAATAATACAATGATACACCGAGATTAATCAAAATCGTTAGAGCCATTTATGAGAAAGTTGTGAAAATGTGTCTCACCGTTGATGTAAAGTTTCGGTTCCGATTAGCCAATTTTAAAGAAAAGGTTTCTGTCACATCTAAGACATACACTGGCAGGCAAAAAATTCCACCCAACCGGACCTTCAATTGCAGGAACCAGTTTCCCGAAAACGCCTGACGGCGCCTCGTAATGTTTCATATGGACCTGCGATGGCATTAGCTGCATACCTAATGGAACGTCCATAATCAATAAGTGCCACACCACGCGCAATATTCTCAGCGCTAAAAGGCATTTTTAAAGTTAATATTGAAAAAATTAAAGACGGAGACTAAGAAATATGCTGCAAGAAACGGCACTGAACTAATGATACTGAAAAACATTTTGATTCAATGGAAAGTAAACATTGGAATCTATAATCATTTCATTGAATTAAGGATTAAGGTTTTATTGTCTTCTATATTTTCATTTCTAATTAAATACAAACAAAAAAAGTAATTACTTATTCATTAAAAACAATAGACCAATCCAAAATATAAATATTTTTAGATGAAAACATGAAAAAACCAAGTGGGTGGAATTTTTTTCTGTCAGTTTTTTTATATATATATATAATATATACTGTACTTCTTTACTTTCACTTACTTATGTATGTAATATAACTTTCGAATCTGAGTTTTCAAAGGAAATACATGTTTTGAAGCATTTTAAGTCCAAATAACGAAGTTCCCAAAATGGTCTGTGTTTGTGTGTTGTGTATGTTACTAGTCTAGCTAAACAACGAATAGTCGTACGAAACTGATATTACGTATTCAAGATACGTATATGCCTTAGATGTGACAGAAACATTTTTCTTAAAATTGGCAAACCGGAAGTGCCATTTTGTAACAACGGTGAAACACATTTTTACAATTTTCTCAAATATGGCTGCAACGATTTTGATTAAACTCGATGTATCATTGTACAATTAAGTGGTCTTTAATATCATTGAGGTCTTTTTACAGAGCTTAAATGCCCAATGTTCAAGTACGTCTTCCTCTAAAGTACCTTTAATATCATTTATTTTAAGAATTTTAACTTTCTTTTATTGACAGTAACTATAAAAAATGGCTAAATATAACTTTTGATAGTTTTAGAAGATCGAATAAAGGAGAAAAAAAGAAAAATGCTTGTTCAATTCCCACCGAAAATTCAAAATCCACCGAATCAAGCCAATGTCATTGTTTAAAATACTATTTCATTATAATTGAGTGAAAAAAGAAGTGGAATATAAAAACATTCTATGGATATGTTTATCACCTTAAATACATTTACTGTAGTTTACTAACTCTAGATATGATATGATATAATATTTAAATAATTAGGTATCTATTGGCATTTTATTCCAAATAATCATCAAGTAACGTTTTAGAAAATTAAATTAGTGAATAATTAGATGAATTTTCCTTTTGTGAAATCCCAACCTTATCCACTTACAATTAGTGAAACAACTTTTGACCTGTCCATGACAGGAAATAATGATCTCATAATTTCATTTTAGTAACCATTACAATGGGAAATAACAGTTTAATAACTAATAGTTCTAAAATCCATAATCATTTGTACGTTAAAGATATACTTTCAAATCTCTCGAGGCATAAATGAGCATTTCGGTTGACAGAATGATTAATCCCAATAGAAATATCACTAAAATGGCATGACTCAAAAATATTGAAATTGGAGTTAGTCATTCTGTCAACTGAAAGGCTCGGATACTGAAGTTATGTGGTTTATAAAAGCAGATTGAGTAAATCTGAGTAATAAATAGACTTTTTATAATTTTAATGGTCTTAATGATTTGTCATCTATAAGCTTCAAATTATTTATCTTTCAAAATAAGATAAGATATGAAACTTAAAAATCAATCTAACAGTTCGATAAAAATATCATTACATATCGTTTATCAAGTTGATTAAAATCTTTTTATCCAATAAGGGAAGTTGTTTTTAGCTCAAATTGTTTCAAAACACTCAGGTGATCTCATTGAAAATTTTGAGCCAAAAACATAAATAATGTTTCAGCCGTTCGCTTTAAAAATCGTCACATATTTATTGGTGGACAATTCTAACACATAACCCGCGTGTCACTTCGCTTATGTTATTCCAGTGAGAAAACAATAAATATACCTTTGTAGAAGATTCAGTTTGGATCGGCAAGTCTTCAGTCTGGTGAAGGGTTTTGGTAATCTCACAGGGAACAAGCATGCCTGCGACAACTGTAATAAAAGTTTTGAAAAAATACAGAAACGATAATTTATAAAAATATTGAAATTAGATACTTTGAAAAAGTTTCATAAACGATAATTTTTCATCATTGCGCCTGACATTAGAAAACTCATTCATGATTAAACAATCTCTATATTTGATAAAGATAGGCAATCACATATTCGTGTTGTATAAAGGCATTAGAAGCAAACAAATAAAATAAAAAACAACTATTATTAGTGTTATTATAAGGGAACGAGTATGCTTGCGGCATCTGTAATAAATATCTTGAGAAAATATTTCTCACTTTTATTGCACACCTATTTGCCGAGTTTGAGACATTGTCCGGGACCTGCAGCTATAAAAGTGAAAGCTTAAGATGTTCTCAATTTTCATTTTCTATTTTTGTAAAGCCTATTTTTTTGTATAACCTTGAATATTTACACAATGTTCTTATATTTTAATATCAAAACTTTTGTATCTGTAATGGACATATTGTTATCTAATTTATAGATTTGGAAATTTTTGTTTTCATAAATGCTCTTTTCCTGCCATCTTCCAAAAAGGAACCAGCATAACATTTGTAACATTTGTTATTTATCACCCATGATATGTAGAACAGTCGACTAACTTCTTTCAAGAATTTATTATTTTCAAGTAATATATTCATAAAATCAGGATGAATGTGGATGTTAAAGATTTGTAAGAATATATATATATATATATATATATATATATATATATATATATATATATATGTATGTATATATATATATATATATATGGAAATGGAGTATTTGCTTGTATTATTAAAAATAATATCCCTTGATATAATTTACTAAATTGCTAGAATTTATATTAACCTTCATATTCTGAAGCTTCATATTCAAAATTTAAATATATAAATATCCATTTGGAATATCGTTACATATTTTGGTTATTATAAAAAAAATAATTAAAAGTTGTACCTTATTTGCAGTATGTCACTTATGCTGAGTGATTTTTCATTAGAACAGCCACTTATTTAAAAATATGAATATGTATTATAGTCTTTTTTTTTTAATTATTGTTTATTTACTCAATGAAATCGAACGGGAAAATATATCACTAAATGAATGACCCAGTAAGAAAAAATTAAGCAAAGATAGAATAAAATTTTGATGATGACAAGATATGAGTAGAAACGTCAAATGAATATCGACGTTAGTTAGAGACATTTTTAATTGATAATTACCTATAGGTCAGGAAACTATAAGAAAATTTCTCATAAATATTGAGATATAGTGGTAATTTCCTTCTACTATTTGATGAAGAATTGGAATTAATAGAGTACATGACTAAGTTCATTTTGTTTTTGAGAAGCATAATTTTGTAAATAATATAACAGTACCTGAAGTTTAATTATTACCCATCTACTTAGTTATATTATCTTATCTCGATAAATCTACTATTAAATTATAATTTAAGTATTCTGATCCATTATATACATCGAACACGATTTCTATACATAAAATACCCACTCGTCCAAAAATCCGAAAATAATGTTAATTTCCTTCAAAGATCTATATTTGTTACTTACAGTGGTGGTTGGCAAAATACTTGAACAATAAAAATAAGTATTATGTTTTTCAATACTTTAAGGACTAATAAAATACTGTTTTGTTTTTTTATAGTTTTTTACTTTTTCTTACAGATTAATTAATGTTTTACGTATCCATAGATTTAATCAATGCTAAATGAAATCTCATAATGACACTATTAAGAATTTAAAATTTTTAACGATTTTCCATCATTATTGATTGAAGGGAGACTTCCTCTGTTTCTATTGGAATTTTGTTGATTGTTTATAATTATTTGATAAAACTTTTAATTGTTACTCGTTCTTTAAAGAAGTATTTATTACTTAAAGTGTAGTAATTAGTAAGAGGTCTACACACTGGTGACGTATTTAACCTGCTTGCACGGGTAGTGTCAAATTTAATTTAATTATTTGATATTAGGGCTGACTTTTTTGTCATTGCTGAGTGTAATAAAATTAAATATTTCCAGAAATTGTTAGAACTTTAAATAAATTTAAAGAACACAAACGCTTATGTTTTATTGATTTTGTAAGACTGGGGATGCGTTAAAAACAAGGCTATTCAAATGTATTATCAATACCAACAAGTACGACTTACTTTTTTACCCCAATCACAAGGTCTAATTAAGAACATCCCTTTCAGTTCGTGTGGACGAATAGAGAGCGCTGTTCATCCCCACTCCTCACACCACACCTCCCTCCAGCAATCCGCTGTCGGTGTAAGATTGGGCATTCAGTGTGTGACCAGCTGTCCTCTAGTTCACTGACGTTCCTGTCAATCTGCGATGGAATCGTACGAAGTAAGATTCGAATAATTCTTATCTATATTTTTAATGAGTTAATCGATAGTTGTGTAACTGATATAACTGTTTTCATTAATATTTTAGATGGTCATTGTTGAAGTTGAGGAAGATCCCCGTACTCCTTCACCAGTGAAGGCTATATGCGATGAAGATAAGCCATGGCCGACGCAGAAATCGATCTGGGACAGCTCACCGCGGCAAGATACCACTTCCATTTCTGTAAGTATCCATTATATAATACTATTCAAATTGATGTTACGTATGTTTTATTTAAAAATTAATTCTGAAATATTTTCTAGAAGTCAGATCAAGTCTATCTTCGCCAACTATGGCTGAGGAGACAGGCAGATGCTCAAAGACTTACAGGTGCGTTTGAAGAAACGCCTCTGATAAGACATCCTGGAGGGTCTATTAGGGACCGGATGCGGCCTAAAAGATTGTAAGTAATTGTTATTATCTGCTCAAACGATCCGTAATCTCGATATATGTATTTTCTAATTATATGTTTATCTAATATTTGTTCAATATGGTTCTTTTCAGATTCTCAGAGTGCAACAAAGAATGTGAAGGATTCCAATGTAACCCTTGTGGGTTGGTCTTTGCAAATGCCGATGCTCTTTCGACCCACTTGGACTTCCACACAAGGTTTTTTAACAAGGTAATGATTTGTAATAATTTAAAGTACTGACCATAATTTTTTTTCAATAATTATTGCAAAACATGATACTGATTTGAATTTATTTATTCCAGAAGTGAACTTCTATACCTTCGGCAATGTGTTGGAGTGGAGTCCTTCATATTTTTAACCGAGCTCTGATCAACAAAGAGAAACAGGATGACAGAATCCGCGCAGGAGTGAGTTCGTTAACACAGTAACCTGAGCGCGATTGAATGAAAATTGAACTTCTATAAAGGTAATAATATAAAAAATCATTTGCATTTAATAATAGGCTAATAATCGAAATAATTAGCTCCCTTGAACAAATATAAAAAAGTGACATAGTGTTCTTCACCTTTGGAGGTACAGATATCGAAATATCAGATAGGAAAAATTGCCATTTTTAACTCCTGCATTCTAGCGATTGTAGTTGTAAACAAATATTTGTAAACAGCGAATATAAACCTTTCATGAAAGTATATTCGTGCGGAAATTAAAACATATCCGTTGTTCGGGCTGAATTTATAATGATATTAGAACAGTTGTTTTCAGATTAGATAGTTAGCATTTGTATCGATGATTTTTAGAGTAAAATATTTGTTTTATAATTTTCCAATAATTTTCTATATCAAATGATACTGTTTTTATCAGTGTTACCCAAAATCGGTCTTGGTCTTGCACTTCACAAGATCAAGACCAAGGCCGACTAACAGTTGCAAGACCAGGAGTAGTAAAGAAAATCAATTTTTTAAATAAAAATTAAGACAGACTAGTTACTAATACTTGACAATCTTAGATATTATATGTTAATAATTGGTTTAACCAATATACTTTTGCATTTAACTCCGCTAATTTTTCATTCGAGCTTAGTTAGGTTTCTCCTATCTTAAAAATTACAGTAATATCTTTATAACAATAAGCTAATAAGTAACTGCAAGACTGTTGCGAGACTCTTGAGCAAGAACAAGACTCGTCTCGGTCTCGCATTTGGGCAACACTAGTTTCTATGAGTAATTAATTTCTAAACGACTCGAGGTTTTAATATGGCATCTTACTAGAGTTTTGTGAACAACTAACGACATATTAAACATTTCAATTGATTCATTAAAAATAGTAACAACTAAATATTTTAGATAGACATTAGAATTAACAAAATGAAAAAAAAATTATATTTAAAAAAAAAATGAAAATAAAATAATTTAAACTATTACCAATTCTTAAAAACAAAGGTATCTTCTCAAAAAAATAAAATATCCGACGACATTGCTAATATTTGATTTATCGAATCAAACTATTTTCACAATTTTTAATTTTCGACGTTAGTATGACTATACTAGCAATATTTGGCATTCTTATCAAATTATTGTTTAACAATAGCAGTAAGTAAATATTTCCCTTTAATATATTGATACAACTATAATAATAAAATGACAAAACGACAATTATACTTCTTTAATTACTTACCTATACAAATATTTAATAATCAACATTAAGTTAGTAGTTTCATACAGGTAGTATTTTACATGAATAGTTACAACGCATATTTTAAATGTCGATAAATTGTTTTATTTATGTGATGTTTGAAAATTTAGTTTTTTATTTATTTTCTCTCATGGCTACATTACATATTTAAGTCAATAAATATATGATCTATCTTTTCATTTATATTTTAAACTAACTACTCGATGTAATTGATTAGCTATCACTTATTTAAAAAAATCTGGAGCAGTGCTCGAGTCATAAAACTTTCACTTACCAACCTAGTAGAAAGGTATTTTCATATATAGGAAAATCAAAGTCAAGGAAGAGTGTATAAATTTATTAAAAACAATTAATTCCTATGTTTTTCCTGTTAGGCAAAAATTAGGCATTTAACCCTGTTAGCGAATATAAATGAGAATATTACAAAAATTATATTTAAAATCGCTTAATTTTAAAGTGATATAATGAATTTAATTAAACTCGTGTATAGTATAGTGTATATTATCTTAACACTGTGAAAAATTAGGCATTTAACCCTGTTAGCGAATATAAATGAGAATTTATCTATAATTTAATAATAATTAAATTCGCTTAATTTTACAGTGATATAATGAATTTACTTATGATCTTTAAAGCCATTTTAATCAAAATTGTAGTAAATTGTAAAATCTATGATATAAGGGAGAATTTCCAGTCAGTCGATAATGACGAAAAATTTGCTGTGACAGCAACTTTTTCGTAAAATCGGCCAACCGGAAGTGGCAGTTTATATCTTGGACTAAACACATTTTTGCGATTTTCTCGCAAATCTCTAGTGATATATAAACTTTCATATTTCTGATATATTCCTTAACTGTACAGTTAATTTGTTATTTATTTATTTTGTATGCTGTCACAATTTGAATTTGTCATCATTAAATCGAATTGCAATAATTTAATATGGTTCTAAAAAATTTTCTTTAGAATTGAATTTTAAATTGTTTTGTTGAAAATCTTAAACTCCCATACTTAGTGCAGACCCATAACATAGTAAAATTCTTAAATTCGTTTAGGAAGTCAGTAAAATTGATTTAGAAATGCTATTTATGTCTTCAGAAGATAGTACTTACTAAAAGTATTATAATCGTGCTCAAATTTCAATCTTCATATTTAACACATTTTTGATGTTTTTATCCACTCACCTTAAAAATCGTCATAAAAATCGATTACATGGGTCAATATTAAATATTGCAGTTTGGGTGTTAAAATCAGTTAAAACATAATTTTAGTGGTTTTTGATGAGTGAAGAAAATAAGTATATTATGTAATAGAAAAAATAATTCGCATCTTAAGGAAACCAAAATACATAAGGAAACAAGTTAATTTTTATATCGTGTTACACAAAAGTTAAGGTATAATTTTAATTTTTTTATTGGATTTTAAAGGCTTTCATAATCTAAGTTTATAACTATTATGTTTTCAAGATATCAGTTGTCCTTTACCAAGATAAAACATAGGGCTATTTATTTCCCAATTAATAATAAAAATATTCACAAAAACTGTATATACTGAGACTGACATGTTTTTTTTTTTTAATTTACTTGGGATTTCAATATATTACTATGTTGTTAATTTTTAGATGTGCTCTGCTATTGATCCCAGCATTGCTACAGTTGAGAGAACAAAGGACATTCCAAAGTTCAACTTACGTATAAATTAGAAGCTATTTACCAAGCCTATTGGAACAATATAAATTCTGTGAAAAGTGATTTCAAACCATCTTTCTTTTAAAAAAAATGAGTTCTGTTGATGCTGAACACATAATTGATTGTCATAATATTGAAAATACTAATTTGAAGATGTTTATTATATTCAGACTTAAAATAAATTCTGTTAGCAAAAAGAAATTCTCCTATAGATCTATTTTTAGAAGTAAATCTGTTAATGTATATGTGCAACATTTATAAACATCATTTCCTTTGTATATAAATAAACATTGTCTATTTTATCTATAAATATTTGTTTTATTTATATTCCTTTGTTGATTAATAATGTTTTCTTTTTAAAGTTAAATTGGAATGTTCTTCGATCAATTGATAATTACAATTTTACATTTCACTATTTTCTGTTGTTTTTTTTTAATTGGTATAATACACTGCGTGATAAAATTGAAAACATATAACAGCCAACAACCTCTAATTTTCCTCAAAAGTAATGAAAAATAAATAAAATAAAGGGAAAATTAGATTCTGGACTAATGAAAAATTCAGGATTGATGAACATTATTACAATTCATCATATTATGATTATTTATCCACTTCATTGATAACAGGTATATTGATATTGACAAGTAAATAGAAATTTTCAAACTATAGAAGAACTAAGCTATACCACTCAGAAACAAATAATCTCCCACCAAATTTTTAATAATAGTGGATTAATAATTGACTGTCCTGGATATATTGAATAGGAGTTGGTTGGGGTGTTCAATCACAATCAACAAAGTAAAAATAAAAAAATTATATTTATTAAATTTACATTATATAATATAGATTATAAATGATGTAAAATATAAATTATTTAATGCAAATTTAATTAATATAAATTATTTAGTTTAAATTTGATAAATATAAAAGATTTTGTGTAAATTTAATACATATAAATTATTTAATGTAAATTTAATAAATATGATTTATTTATTTTTACTAACATAATTAGGCTCATATAGGTCATTTTTAAGTCAGTGGTTTCAAGTATAAAATTGAAATTTGGTTTTCGTTTATAGTTATTGTTTCTTTCAATATTAAAAATATGAGTGTAGTTGATGATCCTTAAATTATAGTTGAGTGATTATAGTTGATGATTCTTAAATGACAATCTTGACCTAAAATGATAAAAAACAATCTTGAATTAAATATTAAAACTTTTAGAATTTCAATAATAAGAAAAATAATAATTTCATTTCAGAACTTTTGCAGCACAACAATCTATTTCTTAAAAATCAATAATGATGAGTATCATACAACTTATTATCTCATAAAAGAAAACTACTTTTAGTTACTCGAGATCTCAGTAAGCTAAGGATCATCAACTAAACCCACATTTTATGATCAAAGTAACAATAACCATATAGGAAGACCAAATTTAAATTTTATACTAGAAACTACTAACTTCTAGATAAAAATTGTGTTAGCTAGTAAACTCGAACTATAGACACTATCTTCATAGAACCAAGTTTCAAACTTGATTTCTATCTATTTCTTACATTACCATTGAATTAGAAAGGAAAATTAATAAAGTAAAGAATTAAAGTATATTCACGATTTTAGATCTATAAAGGTGAAAATAAACTTATCACTTTAAACACTAAAGACCTGTACCACTACAACCCATGAAGGGTCTGGGGTTCAGTACTATTTAGGGAAAACACTGTTTCTAGGTCAACGGTTGTGCAAGGAGGTGATTTGACCGAGATCACGCTCAACCGCTAGGTTTCCCCCATAATCAATTACTTAATTAAGGGTACCCGCTTTATAGAGGCTGGGTGTGCCCCAGGAGGGACTCCTGACCCAAGGTCGCCCCAAGTCCAATGAAACAAATAAAGACATTTTCTGCCATGAGCCGGGGTTCGAATTCGGGACCTTTGTATTGGAAGTTCAGTGCCCTGCCACTGAGCTACCCCGCTCCCTCTTTAAACATTAAAACGTATAATTATTCAATAAAAACTACCTATTAATAAACTGATCCTATCAATTAAAAAAATTAAGCTCCTAAACTAAAATGCTGCTAAATATGAAAATTTAACAGTTTTGAGGTGCCTATAAACCAAGCAGATAGGGAGGGACGATCCAAGATGGCCAACCAATCAAAAAGTGGCTATATGACCCCACTATATTAATACCCCTGTGCAATAATGACGCTGCCTGGTTCTATCTATTCTAAACCTTATCTCAAAAATAGTGGATGATCTGTCAGATACAAACATGGCCGACAAAATAGCAAAACGGAACTAGTACCGTAGTATATTCCTTAACTTCCGAATTTCCGCTTAGTTTTAAGGTTTTCCGTTTATAGACACAATAATGCGACTTTGGCCCTTCCTCATGAAACAATTATAATAGTAATATGTACTGAGAAGAAGAGCCATTTCCATTTTATCGCTCGTCGGGTAAGTTAAACTTCGTTTTCTTTCTTGTTCGGATTTTCGAGGCCGTCCTGTATTTTTAATTATTACTTCCCTTCGTCTGAAAATACTAATTGTCGCTATAAGAAACGTTGTAAGTGAAAGTTGTGTGATGTACGCACTGTAAAATGTTTTTCTTTAAAAATTTAACTTTTAACACTAGTTGCATCGAATAAATATAAAACTTTTTTGATATCTTTTATTTAAATATTCATAAACATTTATCACAATTACGAATCTCACAGTTCAAACATACCAATAGATATGGTGGGGGAATAGGGCGTATACGATTGGTCAAAAGGCTGGGAATTGTGACTCCGCCCTTACCCGCACTCACCTCTGATGCCCAAAGAAATCGCTTAGTTGCTTAAACCGTTTTACTCGGTGGGCCAGACCTAAATCTCTAAAAATTGCGTATCGTTGCGTTCCTTGTAACTATTTATTAAAAAAACGTAATGTTTCCGCAAAAGAAGTGAACGCATTGCCCCAAAATGGCGTCTAAAGATGGCGGACTGACAACTTTGACTTGAGTTAGTTTTTTGGTCACTGAGAATCAGTATTTGGCTTAATGTCATCATAATTGGCCTTTTATTAAAGCTGTATAGTCAGGGAATAATAAAACCGGAACTAATATTAAAAAATAATTGTCTTGGGCAGATGGAAAGGGCAAAACTGTCTGTATGTTCTTGTTAACCGGAACTTATTGTCAGTATTTGATATCAAAATGAGAAAAAACGCGATATTAAACCCAAAAAATGGTAAAAAATACATTAATCGAATGAGGAAGGAATTGCCAAAATCTCAGAAAAGAAAACAAGGATCAGTATCCATTGTATGCCTAAACGAGTATGTTGTAGACAGATGAACAGAATATTATATGAACATATGCTATAAGGACAGATACAAGGAGCTGTTAAAAGGGGGTGAAGTGTTTGCTATGATGTAGACCATTTTATTTTCGATTGTTACTTAAGTTGCACATTGAGAGTATCTTCGCTTTTAAGCAACTTATAGAGAGATCCATCAAGAATGGGAAGCAGCTCTATTTCTGTTTAGTGAATTTGGAAAAGTTCTTTCATGTAACATACAAAGAGTTTTTTCGAAAACCAAGTAAATATTTGTACAATCCAAAGTGAGAGACAGATAGAGAACCATTTATCTTTCTCGATGGACTTCCATATAACCTGCATTAATGTGAAGATAGTTCCAATGTCCAATTTGATTTTCTCAATCCATATCGCTCTGGATTGACAATATTCCTTATTCTAGCTTCTACGATTCTTGAGTATAGCTTCTTTGACACACTGGACATGAATGAATTTCGATGGGTATTACATTTCCTGATACCTCCTTGCCTGTAAAGGACAAAACTACAGTCCTATCATATAATTTTCTAATGACTCATTATTCAACATACATTGGAAAAGAAATATATACCGTAACATGGGACAGTGGGTAAAATTTAGTTTGTTATGATTCCGTGGTGGATACACTGTGTTGGAAGAGTCAGCATGTATTGCGCTACTAGCTTGCGGCACACTAATCTTGAGGCACAAGCGAAAGTTATATGAATATTACAAGTAATATCTCTATAGTAATAAGCTAATACGTAACTGCGAGACTCTCGTCTCAGTCTCGCATTTATGATATACTTGTGTTGACCGCACCTCTGACTTCTTCTGAAATTAGAATCCACGGCCAACCATCTATAAATCATTATGTAATTTATTTTTAAGTGATTTAATTTCAACCGAATAGTTGTTCAATGAGCGGACTCAAATGTTCATAATCATATGTATGATAATTTGAAAAAGAGAAAAAAAAAAAACCAAAAGTGGTACCACTGAAGGCGCCTATACTAAACTAGACCAAATATACTTGTGATAACAAAAATTATTTAACTTGAAAAGAACAATTACATTTTTGCTATTGCCTCTTACTTGGTATTATCTATTTTCTTGAAAGGATTGCTTGATTTCCTACGTGAAGTTGTGGTTTCCTGTTCTTCAAGTTTGGCTCACGGAGGGCTATAGAATCTACTGCTTTATTATTTGGGTTGAACCGCTTGAAAATAAATGTTTCGAGAGTACATTATGATTAAGGAATGCCAACTAGTTCTGATTAGTTTCCTAAAGTGACCATTGTGGGCTAACATTGAGCACCTGTTTGCATTGGGTGCGCAAATAATGCATGTTACTTTGTATTGGAATTCCTTGCCAACTACCAAACGCAAAACTTCATCTTTGACTTCATTCAAAGACGTTTTCTGTTCAATCACTTCTGCTATCAATCTACTAAATACATGTTATAATTAAATTTTCGAATTTGAGTTTTTAAATTTTCAGCCTTATTTTACTGTAATTTCACAGATTTTATTTATATTACATATCTCTGCGACTATGTAAACGTATGGGCATTTATATATTAATAATTTCATTATTTCATTTGTTTACTAATGCTTGTCTTTTATTGCAATTTTAATGTTATACAATTTTGTAATTTACTTATATTTTATTTGTCAATTTATGCATGAAAATTGTAATTGTAATTTCTATTGCTCATTTTCGTTGTTCTTGTGTGACTAAATATTTAGAATAATATTAACTTATCTTTTCTCCTTCTTATGAGAAAAAAGAAATTTTACTTTTCTAAAACGTTATAGGTAGTATCCGTCACTAGCAGGTAACAAACTGGCAATATATTGTAAACCTTACCTCCAACTCAAAAGTTACTCTAACTCAAAAGTTTTGTATACCTAGACCAGAGATGGGCATATTTATATTAAAAAATATAAATACGAATACCATTTATATTTATGGTAAAATGAATATAA